GGACTCTTGGCTGCCAGGCTGTTGCATCTTGTCCTCTCTCTTATCCCACCCCTACATCACCTACTAACTGACTGTTTCCCCACCCCGGCCAGCACACATGCTGTATCTTAGATAGAAGAGTCTGTGGCTTATCAGAAACGTCATGAGAAAGAATCTTTCAGTGGGAGGTAGAAGATTCCATCAGATCCATCAAAGCCACACAAAACGAGCTCCGACAGCCCACTCCAAACGAGGCAGGAAGTGAGTGCAGCACCGTCCTCCAGCTCCAGGTTTAGAGAAGCATTGGTTTTAGTCAATGACCCCTCAGTGGTCCAGAGGCAGAACCGAGGGCAGTCTGGGTCCCAGCCGAGTGGAAGACATGGAAACCGACTCTCTCCTCCTTCTTAGCAACGTGAATGAAAGGCACCGCAGACCAATGTTACACTGGAAAATGGTGGGAAAAGCCAGTCCTGAATCTCATTAAGCCCAGAAATATAGAAGAAAATATCAAAAACCTCAACAAAAACAACACCTCAAACTCCTGGTCATTGAGTTGATTGTGACTCATTTCAGCCCTCAGGACAGCGGGACACTGGGCAGAACAGTGTGGGAGAAGCAGCTGGCCGTTCGATCTGCCGACCTTCTGGTTTGCAGCCCAACATACAACCCACTACGTCGCTGGGGCTCCTGCAGGAAGCGTGTGCTCTCTTGAAGGGGCAGAAGTGCTCTGTCCATAGAGGAGGACCCCAGTCTGTGAGGGGAGACCCAGACGTGCCAACAGGCCAGCGAGATACAAATGCAGCTTTGTGAGCTGGGGAGGAAGCCCAAGGAAGGGGAGCGAGCGGAAGTTAAACTGAGTTGAGAAGAATCCGGATGACAGAAATATCAAAGGAATGATATAAAACGAAAGTTGAAAGACCCCCTCTAGAAAAACGTGAAATAAGAAAGGGGCCTGTTTATTCATGAGAAGATGTCATCGAAAGTGGACCGATAACAAAGATGACACATTTCAAAGGAAAAACTAAAATTTTCAAAATCATAGATCAGGGGCCAGAGTCAAAGCTACAACTAACTGTCAAGAAAACTTTAGCAAGCTGAGAGAGTGAAGAACTTAAACGTGGGCGATTCAGACGGTCCCACAGACTCTGGGAAAGATAACTAAGCTACATTCATTCTATAGATGTATTTTAAAATATCCTTATGATTAAAAAATTATAAAATAAAGACCTTGAACATTTAGGTCAAAAATCAAACTGAAAAAGTAGGCAAATGATGAAGGGCAGGACAGCCCCAGATTGTTACACTGTAATGTGAAACGCCCAAATAGGATGCACCCACGTTGACAGATAGGAGGGGAAAGGTTTTGGTCCACAATCTAGCTCGCCAGGTTCTGTTGTTCGTTTGTGAAAGATGCAAAGACATTGTCTTAGATACACAATGTTTCAGAAAATTCACCATCCTAATTCATTATCTTAAGTCATGACCTTTTAGAAGAAAAAAAAGTACCTGAAATCCTGTTCTAATTCAAAAGAAAGGCCACATTATTCTTCACATAAAATTGGTCTTTGAATGTTAAACATATAATGTAGAAGTAATTAGTAATAACAATCTGGATTCCAAAAATCAAATTATATTAACAGAGGAAAAGGGGGGGGGAAGTAAAAGAGAATTAGATCCTCTGCTTACACAGCCTTAACACTATCACTAGCTCTTCAAATCACGTTCCTGGCACCAGGAGCATCAGCCTCCCCCAAGAAGTTATTACCAAAGTCTCAGGCCCCACTAGACCTACTGGGTCAGAA